GCAGTAGTGCAACATTTAATGAACATGCTTACTGGGATAAAATAAGTTTGCCACCTGAAACTATCATCCACACACCACATGAAATGCAGGAGAGTGATGAGGAGAAATCACAGCCAGAACAGGGAATAAAGGAAGAGGTAGAACCTGTTGAACTGCAGCCAGACAGTGATGAACCTTCTACATCAGAGCAAAGGGAAACTCCTGAGGAGGAGAGTGTGATGCCAAGGAGATCTGCAAGGGAGCGCAGACCACCTGAGAGGTATCAGCCTGAAACATTTCACTGTTTAAATGTAGATGAACCTGAGAAATATGAGGACATATGTAAAATGCCTAAGTCTGAGCAGGATAAATGGAATAAAGCACTAGAGATGGAGCTAAATTCTCTGAAAGAGCTCAAAGTCTATGAGGAGGTATTGCAGCTGGCTGATGCTAAAATTGTAGGATGCTGGTGGGTATTTAAAAAGAAAATGGATGCAGATGGCAATTTGAGATAAAGGGCAAGACTTGTTGCAAAGGGTTACTCACAAACAAGTAGTGATTATGATCAGGTCTTCGCACCAGCCCTGAGGCCAGAAACCTTGAGGTTTGTGCTAGCTTATGCAGCCAAACACATCCTAGTTTTGAGGCATGTGGATATTGAGACTGCTTATCAATGCTGACCTACAACACAAAATTTACATGGAGCTACCTCCCAACATAGAAAGCAAAGGTAAATGTTGGACCTACAACACAAAATTTACATGGAGCTATCTCCTAACATAGAAAGCAAAGGTAAATGTTGGTTACTTAAGAAAAGTCTGTACGGGTTGAGACAAAGTGGCTATGAGTGGAACAAACATTTAACCAGGACACTCATAAGTGAAGGATTTACTCAAGACAAGGCTGATCCATGTTTATTTACCAAAAGGAATGAGAAAGCTATGATTTTGGTGTTTGTTGATGACCTAGCTATATTTACAAGAGATGAAAAATCTGCAAGTGAAATAGTTAAAATGCTGAAAAGAAACTACAAACTAAGGGACATGGGTGAAATTAAGAACTATTTAGGAGTAGAAATAAAGAGGTTTGATAAAGGATTTAAAATAGCACAGAAAAGTAAAATAGTAAAGTTGTTAAAGCAATATAAAATGGAAGATTGTAAAGGTGCTATAACTCCTATGAATATAGAGTTTGAAAAAGAAAATGTTACCGGTCCTGATTGTGATATTGAAATGTATAGGTCACTAATTGGTAGTTTGCTATATTTAAGCAGATGGTTAAGACCAGGTATTTCAATTGCGGTGAATTTGTTGGCCAGGAAGCTAAGTAAGCCAAGTGAAAAACACTGGCAAGCTGCAACGAGGATGTTAAGATATTTAAAGGAAACCCAAAACAAATAATTAAATTTAGAGCCCAAAGGAGAATTAACCATTACAGCATATGCCGATGCTAATTATGGCAATGACATAGTGACAAGGAGGTCCACATCAGGAATGACTGTTCATTTGGGTGATAGCATTGTAAATTGGAAGACAGCCAGACAGAAATTCATTTCACTGTCGTCGGCTGAATCAGAGTATGCAGCACTGTCAGAACTCTGTACAGACCTCATATTTTACAGTTAGCCCAGGATATTGGAATGGATTTAAAGGACCCAATACCCATAAATGAAGATAACCAGGCTGTAATTCATATGGTAAATTCACCAAGTGTAAAGAGCAGATCAAAACACACAGACATTCGATACCAGAATGTAAAAGAAAGTGTAGAAAATGGTCTGATCAAACTGATTTATTGTGAAACAGAAAAAAACGTTGCAGACTGTTTAACAAAGGTACTAGGACCAACTAAACATGAAAAGGCATGTACAATGTTGGGAATAAAGTGAATGTAAAAGTGTGGAAATGCAATGTGTAATGTAAAAACAATTTAAAAGTGTATATGTAAACTCCATTTAACAATTGGAGGAGATTGTCAGGTTTGGGCTAAACCTGGAAATTGTTAAATGGAGTTTGGCACCAAGATATAAGTTTTGTAAGGACCAGCACTGTAAAGCAGAAGCTAAGCATAAGTGATTACAGCTGTGTGAATTGTACCAGCACTATGAACATCCCAGAATTGGCTATCCCTGGGATAAAGCTGGGAGACCTAGCATACACCAGTGTGGGTTGTTGTGGGTGTTGCTGTTGGTCGTGGAGTGCTGTCGTCTTGCAGCTGTGCCTGAGAATCCTGTGGAAGCTGTATCTACGTGCTTGGGAGGAAGTGGAACTCTGGCAAACCGGACTGACTGCATGGTATATTATTGACTCTTTACTGGACTCTGATACTGATTTAAGCTCTGTAACTCTGTGGAACTACCGTGTATGACTACTGGAACTGGAATAAGGACTAAGCTGTATATACCTGTAAATATTCTGTAAATAATACAAGTATTCTGCTATCGAGACTGGTGCTTGTGTCTACACATCACTGGGAAGCTCTGCTGGTTATCACCACCTGGGGTAACCCTGGTAATTCCACCAATTCTGTCAAGACAGCCAAATCATCAAGAATTGGCTGGTCTGCCTGGACAGGTAACCTTCCTCTCACCTCAGATGTGGTCGCATGCTCAGAGGCAGCTCCAAGCTGCCTCTGAAAAAATGGTGATGATTGTCACATTTCTTTAAAAGGCGAAAGAGGGGGAACCTGGGATATTCCAGACTGGTTAGCCTAACTTTTGTTCCAGGGAAGTCTCTGGATTTTCAGAAAGTATTTGACACGGTCCCTCACCAAAGGCTGCTGAGAAAACTCCACAGTCCGGGGATAAGAGGGCAACTCTTATTGAGGATTGGTGGAGAACCAGGAAGCAGAGAGGAGGTATCAATGGGCAAATTTTCACCATGGAGGGAGATCAAGAGCAGTGTGCCTTCAGGGATCTGTCCTGGGACCGGTGTTTTTTAACCTATTCATCAATGACCTGGAGACAGGGATAAGCAACGAGGTGGCCAAATTTGCACATAACACAAAACTTTCCAGGTTTAAAACGAATAGAACTCCAAATGCCAGAGACAGGGGAATGGCATCAGGAGACAGGGATCTCGTCTTGTGGGCTCCCAGAGGCATCTGGTGGAGCCACTGGAAGATACAGAAAGCTGGACTAGATGGGCCCTTGGTCTGATCCAGCAGGGCTCTTAGGTTGTTAGGTTGTCTTGAATGTCTCCATTGGTGGAACACTCTTGGCCTCCTCTGAACTTGCTGCAATTTGTTAGCATCCTTCTTGAAGTGTGGTGTCCAGAACAGGACACAGTACATTGGATGAGGCTTAACCAATGATGAATAGAGAGGAACCAGGACCTCGTGGGATTTGGAGACTCTTCCTGTTTATCCCACCTAAAATAGTGTTTGCCTTTTTTGTAGCCACATCACACTTCTGGCTTCTATTCAGCTTGTGATCTATGACGATTCATTCTTTCATGTCCACATAATGTTTCAAATACATCCAAACCAGAATCTCTCGCCATCCGTCTCCCTGACAAGCAGTGTATCAAGAAATCCCAGTGGAAAAGTTTTCCGTATCCTGTTCAGTTTTAAAGTCTCATTATGTTGTTAAATGAAAATGAGGTGTTCATTTGGGATGTCGGCAGGACACTAAATGTCCTTCCCATTCAGAAATTGAATAGACTGTCCGTCATGAATGGATCATTCAGTTCCCATGACTTTCTGGATGTTAGCGATCGTACCGCTGTCTTGTGGGGGGAGGGTACCACTCTGAACCTCCTGTGATCTTATTAGAACTCCCAGCCTGAGGTTTTCACTCACCCCCAGAGATCCCATCCCTCTTGACGGTGATTTCTGTTCCTTGTCAAAATGCTGGCTTTCGATCATTTTTTCCTTAGACGGGCACAAATTAGCTTTTCTGTTGGGAGCCGTCGCAGAAGAGGGTGACAAGGATTTCTCCAGTTACATAAGACCGATTGAAATCAGGATCAATTGAGTTAAAAAATAATTAGACAGAACTTAACAAAAGAAAATAATGATCCACAAAGGGATTGGACCGATGCAAACTATCAACTGTCCACCATGAAAAATGAAAGAAAAAACATCTCTCCCCTCAGGCTTCTTTTCTCAAAACCAAACATGCCCAGTTCTTTCCTTCTTTCTATGTTGGCTTTCGGTTCTTACTACATGGTTTTCAGAGTGCTTGCAGAGTGTCTGCTTTGTAATCTCCCATGTAGCGAGAGCAAAGGTGATAACTTAGGTTCTAGTTGTATGCCTTTAAGGCTACAACTGTATTCTAATGAAATGGCTTTATTTTCTTAATAAAAACAAATATAATTCTTCAATGGAGGACTGGTCTCTTGAACAGCAGGATTAAACATAAATCTACTGAGGATCTGAGAAGGTCACTCATTGTTACTGTAATATTGAGAGGTCCTACTTGCTCAGGCTGTTGCCCTGCCAAAGCACTCAGTCAATTGTTTATTGCTTTGAAAGTAGGCAGTTTTCTTTTAAGGTTGGGCTTATCCATGGAGCTTGTACTACCCACTTCTGAGGCTTAAAGCACTTACTGCAGGCACTAAAGGTGGTAGGTTGCACCCACAGTGACTTCCTGACCCATGATCCTTATCTCTTCAGATAGAGGTCATTGCGACAATGATGAATAAGGCTATTTGTCTAATTGAGGCTTTCCACATTCAATGTATTGATATGAACAAAGATAATTGCTCGTAATGAGGCTCTGTTTACACTCTGTGTATTTCTATGCTTTCTCCCCAGTGTGATTTTTTAGATGAGACCTAAGGCTATTGGTATGACTGAAGCGCTTTCTACATTCCATGGATTTAAGTATGACTGAAGCTCTTTCTACATTCCATGGATTTATAGGGTTATTCCCCTGTGTGAGTTCCTTGATGTGAACTCAGGGCACTGCTGTGACTGAAGCTCTTCCCACATTCCATGCCTTTATATCGTTTCTCTCCAGTGTGCGTTCTTTGATGTCTACTCAGTTAACTGTTGCGACTGAAGCAGTGTGCGTTCGGTGATGTGAAGTCAGGTTACTGCTCTGATTAAAACTCTTTCCACATTCCATGCATGTATATGGTTTCTCCCCGGTGTGAGATCTGTGATGTGAACTTACAGTAGGTGACTGCTGCAACTGTAGCTCTTTCCACATTCCATGCATGTATATGGTTTCTCTCCTGTGTGAGTTCTTTGATGTGAACTCAGTTGACAGCTCTGACTGAAGCTCTTTCCACATTCCATGCATGTATATGGTTTCTCTCCTGTGTGAGTTCTTTGATGTGAACTCAGTTGACAGCTCTGACTGAAGCTCTTTCCACATTCCATGCATGTATATGGTTTCTCTCCTGTGTGAGTTCTTTGATGTGAACTCAGTTGACAGCTCTGACTGAAGCTCTTTCCACATTCCATGCATGTATATGGTTTCTCTCCTGTGTGAGTTCTTTGATGTGAACTCAGTTGACAGCTCTGACTGAAGCTCTTTCCACATTCCATGCATGTATATGGTTTCTCTCCTGTGTGAGTTCTTTGATGTGAACTCAGTTGACAGCTCTGACTGAAGCTCTTTCCACATTCCATGCATGTATATGGTTTCTCTCCTGTGTGAGTTCTTTGATGTGAACTCAGTTGACAGCTCTGACTGAAGCTCTTTCCACATTCCATGCATGTATATGGTTTCTCTCCTGTGTGAGTTCTTTGATGTGAACTCAGTTGACAGCTCTGACTGAAGCTCTTTCCACATTCCATGCATGTATATGGTTTCTCTCCTGTGTGAGTTCTTTGATGTGAACTCAGTTGACAGCTCTGACTGAAGCTCTTTCCACATTCCATGCATGTATATGGTTTCTCTCCTGTGTGAGTTCTTTGATGTGAACTCAGTTGACAGCTCTGACTGAAGCTCTTTCCACATTCCATGCATGTATATGGTTTCTCTCCTGTGTGAGTTCTTTGATGTGAACTCAGTTGACAGCTCTGACTGAAGCTCTTTCCACATTCCATGCATGTATATGGTTTCTCTCCTGTGTGAGTTCTTTGATGTGAACTCAGTTGACAGCTCTGACTGAAGCTCTTTCCACATTCCATGCATGTATATGGTTTCTCTCCTGTGTGAGTTCTTTGATGTGAACTCAGTTGACAGCTCTGACTGAAGCTCTTTCCACATTCCATGCATGTATATGGTTTCTCTCCTGTGTGAGTTCTTTGATGTGAACTCAGTTGACAGCTCTGACTGAAGCTCTTTCCACATTCCATGCATGTATATGGTTTCTCTCCTGTGTGAGTTCTTTGATGTGAACTCAGTTGACAGCTCTGACTGAAGCTCTTTCCACATTCCATGCATGTATATGGTTTCTCTCCTGTGTGAGTTCTTTGATGTGAACTCAGTTGACAGCTCTGACTGAAGCTCTTTCCACATTCCATGCATGTATATGGTTTCTCTCCTGTGTGAGTTCTTTGATGTGAACTCAGTTGACAGCTCTGACTGAAGCTCTTTCCACATTCCATGCATGTATATGGTTTCTCTCCTGTGTGAGTTCTTTGATGTGAACTCAGTTGACAGCTCTGACTGAAGCTCTTTCCACATTCCATGCATGTATATGGTTTCTCTCCTGTGTGAGTTCTTTGATGTGAACTCAGTTGACAGCTCTGACTGAAGCTCTTTCCACATTCCATGCATGTATATGGTTTCTCTCCTGTGTGAGTTCTTTGATGTGAACTCAGTTGACAGCTCTGACTGAAGCTCTTTCCACATTCCATGCATGTATATGGTTTCTCTCCTGTGTGAGTTCTTTGATGTGAACTCAGTTGACAGCTCTGACTGAAGCTCTTTCCACATTCCATGCATGTATATGGTTTCTCTCCTGTGTGAGTTCTTTGATGTGAACTCAGTTGACAGCTCTGACTGAAGCTCTTTCCACATTCCATGCATGTATATGGTTTCTCTCCTGTGTGAGTTCTTTGATGTGAACTCAGTTGACAGCTCTGACTGAAGCTCTTTCCACATTCCATGCATGTATATGGTTTCTCTCCTGTGTGAGTTCTTTGATGTGAACTCAGTTGACAGCTCTGACTGAAGCTCTTTCCACATTCCATGCATTTATACGGTTTCTCCCCAGTGTGAGTTATTTGATGTCTACTGAGGTGACATGCATTTATCTGCTTTTTGCCCTGCGTGAGTTCTTTCATGTGACACCCATTCCTGCCCAGTTGGCTTTTCAATTCTCTGATTTTTTCCTTGTTCATGTGTTTCTGCTGAGGATGCCATGGGAGTTGCTTGGCGATTCTTCTTCTGTTCATCATCTGGCAGATTAGAAAAATAAGAGAAACAACCACTTCAGAAATCTGCAGGGATAAAGAGAAATGCATTTGGGCTCCTTCTGAGTAATGGAGGAGGAAGGAAAGACAGGGAAAAAGGTGAGGGGGAGGAGAAGCAGCGTGTATGTGTGGCTGGACCTGAGGGTGTTCCTTTGGCCTTGAGGTGGGAGGGGCACTTCACTGAGGAACCTTTTGAGTGGAGGAGTCATGAAGGAAAGAACATTGCCACACCCAAAAAAGTACCTCAAAGTGTATTAACTTTATTTCCTCCTCAATGTTCATTTGGTAGAGGCAGATTTGCAGCTCTCCCTTAATTATTAGCATCAAATTCTATTCTGAAGTCTATTTTGATGTGATGTTGTTATCCCATTAAAATGCCTTTTAATGAAAACTGTAGATCGCGTAGCAATTATACAAGCGGGTCATGACTCAAAAAAGGTTGGAAAACACTGTTCTAGAGGCCTCTTAAGGAGAGATCACCATGATCAGCAGCAGTTATAAACAGTGGGAAAAGGACAAAATACACGGGAATAAATTTGAGATGACATTGTTTCAGTAGAGTAAGGAGGAAGAATACTATTACTATACAGACTAGGATAAGGAGGAATAAATGTTACAAAAATTAAAAGATTTTAAAAAGCAAAATTTTGAAAAGTTGAAATTAGAAATTAAAAATAATTTAAATGATTAGAGGGAAATCAGCCATCACAATTTGGTTGAATTGTCTTGTCTAAAATGAAAACTGTACCGAAGATCAATTTTTTAATTCTCTTCTTTTTATCCTTCCAATGACTGTCGCGAATTTTCCAGAAAATTAGAAAGGATTTTCTCAAGTTTATTAAAGAGAAAACAAATATTTGAATTAAAGGACTGGTTAGCAAAAATGAACATGGGGGGAAGGACAGTGTTAGAAAAGGAAAAGTTAATGTGGATGAATGTGATGCAGCTCGATTATTGGACTCGAGAACTGGTAAAGAG